GAGCAGGGAGGCCAGGACAGTCTGCTCATGTGGTGGCCCAGGGCTTAGCTGCTCAGGGGCAACTGAGAGTCTTCTCAGTGGTGTGAGGCACAGCTGTGCTCAGACCTGACAGGGCTTCACCAGGCACTGTCCCCAGCATGTCCTAAGCCCATGGGTCATTCATCTCAGGTATACTGAGCCTAGCACCCTAGACTGGAAAATGATAGGGTGGTGGGAACGGAGGGGGCCAAAGACAGTGCAGGAATGAGGTGAGAATCCTGGTGAGAGGGTCTGTCTCTGCCCCACTCTCTTGAGGAATACCAGGGCCGACCAGCCGGGATCTTACCTGAATGTTCTCAACAATGCGTGTCGGTGTCACAGACTTGGGGATCACAATCACATTCCTCTGGATATGGAAACGGATCAGAACCTGTGCGGAAAGGGGACATCATGTTTCCACTCAGCTACAAGGACCCTTCCTTTTATGGAAAGGCAGAATAAAACATCTTCGCAGCTCATGTGGCTTCAGGTACAATCGCTGATACTGACTGAGCCCTTCGCAGCTCTTAGACTTGTGCCAGCCCCTCGCCTCATTCTCTCCCTTCATCTTAGGGACAACTCTGTGATCTTCACTTTTTAGGAATAAAGAAAGCAGTTTGGGTCATAAGGCTGATCAGAGGTAGAGTTGGCATCTGCACCCATATCTCTAGACTCCAAAGCCATGCTTTACGACTTGGCTGTCGGGCTTAGGAGGAAGCTGTGAGGCAGAAGCTATCTTTGTTTCAGTGACAGCTCTTGTGTTTCCTGGAGGTTCCAACAGACTTCGAAGGAAACACTATAGATGGCTTCAGCTCCTGTGTTCTTCCCGTTTAAGGAGTTAGTTGAGGACAACACAAGATATGAAACATGAGACTGGAAGAAGGAGTTGTTGGATAATAAGAAAAATAAAAATATGGTACCTGGGCTGCGGTTTTCTTGTGCTTTGCAGCAATCTCCTTAATTTTGGGATCCTCCAGCAGGGAAGGGTCCTCTGGCTTGGCCCTAGAGGCAGAAAGATGCTGATGTGAACAATCACCATGGCTACCATGTACAGATGGACACCACTTCAATGAGGGTCTCAAGACTGATCATCAGAGCCTCTCCATGTGGGAGACAGGCAGGAGGACCTGGAAGCTTGGGTCCTTCCCTTGAGCTCTGAGTCTCAGCATTTTGCAAAGCCGGGTTCATCCTTGGGTGGTTGAATAGGAAATATTCCCAGAGGGTCAAACACGTCCCCCATATTTTTGTTGTTGCTGTTGTTGCTTTTTAATTCCCATTTGTTCCCACAGTCATCCCATTTGGTTGTAGCAAACGCATTACCTTACACACATTTTTCTTTCCAGTGACTTATGGTCTCATACCAATTTTACCAAACATAAAATAATGTTTTTAAGATTATCAAGAGAAGGATCCACTGCTTGGAAGCCTCACCAAGGTCTATCCGGAGAGCCCAGGGGGCTGTAGGCTGTAACGGTGATGCCCTTGGAGTGGCAATACTGGATCAGTTTCTCCTGCGTGAGGTACGGGTGACACTCAACCTGCAACAGCAAACAATCCGCATCACGGGGAAAGCTGGCTGGCTTTTTGAGTTGTTCTTAGGGAGTTCTACACATACAGACAAAAAGACCACCAAGAAAGGCCAAACACCTATCCACTGAGATTCCTGCTAACACACCCATGAGATCAGCCTCACACCTCCCACAAGTGTCCTGATCACTGACCCCTGAGATGACACTCGGGGCATAGATAGCATTGAACATTCCTCCCAATGTTTAAGAAGTAATAGGGCAAGACCTTTATTTACCCTTATACTAAAGAGAATTTACCTGGTTAGTCACTGGTTTATATTTCAGTCCAGGTTTGTTCAAGAGCTTCTCGATCTGGAAGTGGTTGAAATTGGAGATGCCAAGGGCTTTCACCAGCCCCTCATCCACCAGCTCCTCCATGGCCTGTCATAGAAAGGAAGACCTTTTGGGCAGCCCCAGAGGGACTACAGGGACCCTGGCTTGCCTTAGTCCTCCCTGGGGCAGAAATTGCTAAAGGATCCACCACAACAGGGTTAGCCGAAGCATTCACAGGAAGTTTCAGTCCAGGGCCTGGGTGCGCATCAGTGATTGGTTCCAGCCCTACTGCCCCTCCCCACCCCAAGAAAAACTAGGAGTAACAGGTAAAGATTTTATATTCTTGCCACTCTCAACTTACACATAAAGAAACACATACAAAATTATACTGCTCTATACAGGGGAAATATGAGGTTTTATAATGCAAAAAATAAAAAATGAACATTTGCAAGCTTATGAGATGATTTTATTTTTAATGAATCCAAATGACAGCGGGTAGTTACTGTT